AAAGGAAACAAACTTGTTTATTGATTTTTTTTTTTTTTTTTTTGTATTCAGTCAGGTATACACTGATTACTTGAATATATGTAATAAGTACTTAATCTAATTTATTGATTTATTACTTGAGAAAATACTGTTCAACATCACTTTCAATGTCAACAATCAGTCTGTAGTGGGTTGTTGACATATGAGACCACCTTGGCCCATGACAAAGGACAAGAAAACAAGGAGGAAGTAGAAACAGTGGGAGGGTACCACCTCTTTATCAACACCATTGTGAAAGGTTGGTACATGCAATATCTGTTGCTGTGTCTGCCTCTCACACATTGGACTTTGTAGCCACATGAGATGCTGCATAAGAGACTGACTCTCAAGCATAGAAAATCAATAGTCTTTCAAGACTGCAATGCCAACAAGTTTGCTTACTTAGCATTTAGAATAGCACTTACTATTGAAAAAAATTATTTCATAGAATTTAAAATGACTGAATAAAATTTGTTTATTATGACCCACAGGAAAAATAATGTTAATAGTATTTGTATTGTTATGTATATATACATTGCTTCACTATTAGCTATTTAATATTTTATTGAGATATATAAAATAAATACTTGTTGGAATTTAAAGATAGATTTTGCTATCATTCAGTAAATATATCTGCACATCTTGCAATAAAAGCTACTTCATTCAGTACAGATGTAAATAAATGGCAGGCTTCTGTATAGAATATTCTGAATTTTGAATTCTCAAAGTTAACTATGTTGTAAGTTTAAAGTTTTAACATACATCATACGGTTAATTTGGCAGCTAAAAAAAATATTTTAATAAGTTCAGAATCTATAAACTGTTAAAACAATTCTGGTAATTCCCGAAAATGATGAGCAAGTACCATCAAACTGAAGAACATCATTGTAACTCTTGTACAAGTTGAGAAATTTGTCTTATTGATTTGTGCATTGTATTAAGAAAGAATTTTTTTTAAAATTGCCTTTGTCAAGCTATGAAGTTTTTTTTGTGTCAATGAAGATGTTGGGTCCTAAATAAAGTGACAAAATATGAGACTGGTCTTACTTTAAAACATATCCATGAGGAAAATCAAATAGGCAACATTATACACAATTCTTCAACCATTCTTTTAATCAATGAATGTTGATAGGTCAGCCAGATAGACCAAACACTGGATGTGGGATTGGAGGGGTGGGGGCGTATAGATAAAGTAGTGAGCCCATGATATTTTCCAGATTGTGTTTTGATGATGCCTCAAACATGAAACCCTGGTTCAAGAAAGAAGTATTACACAGTGTCAGTGATGATCTAGATAAGTACAGATAACAATAGTTGGTTTGTCTACCATTTATCTCTTACCCACCTCTGCTGCATGGAGAGGGGCATGGTCCTGAGGGAAGACTTAAATGGAATTGATAAAGACAGGTACAGTGCTGATAATTATGGTTGTAAAGAAATAATTCCAAAGAACACCTAAGAATAACAAGTAATAATTTAAATAGGCTAGACTTGCCTATTATTGTACTAGATCTAGGTTCAGTAAGGAATTATATTCAACTCTGAAATTACAATTAACAGTAGATAAAGTAGTAACAATAGTTCAATTATTGTGATGTGATTGCTCAATGAGGCCTGAGGTGTACTTGTCAAAATATTGTGATGTTATTTGCACCACCATTTTAGTCAATTAGGCATATTTCACTTAGTCAACTGTTTTATTCAAAACATTGTTTACCCCTAGAAATGTGTGCCCAGTGACCGAGTAGTTAAACCCAAAATTAATTAATTATATGTAAAAGTTACTAAAGTTAGCATAGTCTAGCACAAGGTTCATCTTTTAATGTCTTTTGAGAAACTCACTCCTAAATAAGTTTAAACATACTTCTCAACATTTTTGGTTGATGACTAACACACACCCCACCCCACCAAAAAAAAGGAAACAAACTTGAAAGGTTATTGAGAAGAAACTGAATGGTGTTGTAATCTTCTAAGTAGAAAGAACCTTTGTCACAGAATTTCTGCTTACACTATCTGAACAAATTCATTAATGTTTGAGGTGGCTAACAAAAAAGATATTTGACAAAGAAAATACTATGTTTGCAGGTTAATGAAACAAATGATAATATCCAACAAAAACATTACCACGCAAAATTTTACAAAACTGAATAATATTACACATGGAAAGGAAGAAAAGTCCCTTCAAAGACTTCATTACCTATCGTATATTTAAAATGTATAGAAAATTGTTTAGATTAATGTTTGGCTAAATTTTGTATTAAATCTCATATCACAATTTTAGCTTACCTTATTTTTAACGCACAATATAATTGTCTCAGAATTAGGTTTTTATCCAAATAACATTTGTCTTGAGAAATGCAAGTTTCTCTTTTTATCAGAATTTTCAGTGATTAATATTAATATATTATTGTGAAATTTATGATTACATAGAACCCAAATACCAGGTTGAAATTTAGTTACTAATTAATGAAAAAAAAAAACTATTTAAATTTTTCAGAGTATCTGGAATTTACAGGTTCTGACTAAACTTGCATGAAAAATAAGCAGTTGAGATGTTCTTCATTGTATTTTTCTTTTCGTTCTCCTTCTCTCACTTTTTTTCTTAATTTGTATCTTTCTGATCTTTTCACTTTGATATAAAAATGTACAATGAAAAAAAATTACTTCTAATTAAGAATTTTGCAACACTAATATTTCTATTTAAGAATTGGACTACAATAATATCTATCCAGAAAATGAACACCAATGCATCAGAAAATACATAGATAAGAATTTATATTATTTAAAAAATGTCGCAGTAAAAGTAACACCTTTTAATATTTCCACTATAGAAACAGTAAATGCAATTTTATTTGTTTATTGCAAAACATGTTGATTGAGAATGTTTTATTGCTATTATTTTATCATTAGTTTTGTCCTACTTTGTTCCTCTTTTCTCCCCATGACCTTTTACCAAGCACTGGGCATTATTTTATAAGAAATAAATTGGGGCTGAAGTTACTATTTAATCAATGATGATAAAATTTTAAGGACCTTTTGTTTATCCCTGGGATTTAGATATTGTTCTTGTCCTTACCAATTAGACATATTGGATTTAAAAGACAGAATATTAAGAACATTAGCAAACAAAACCTGCCCCCTTTAAATAAACTACACAAAAGGAAATGTGTAAATTGGACAAAGTAGAAACTGATTTCTCAACAGTAATTTTTAGTGATAAATATAGAGCTATATAAAATAAGATAAAAAGAGAATTATTCTAAGTTTTTGAACAAGTTTTTTCTTTTGAGAAGTTCAAGTCCTAACCAAGAAGCTTCAAGCAAAAGAGTATATTCATACAAAACCATGTTCTTTTTTTTCAAATTCTGCAATTCCCACTTTGCCAAAAATATTCTAAATTAATAGAAAGAACACACCTAGCCCATCAACACAAAAAAAATTATTAGCCATCATAGAGATGTATATGAGAATTGAAAACACTATTCTCTGTAAAGCAAATAAACGTTGCAAGTTATGTTAAAGTTGAAACAATAAGTTAGGTGAATAAAAGACTGATGAATGTTGTAGAATGTCCTGAAGTCCATATTAACATATAAAATGCTTTATTCCCTTATACTGGATATTGTGCTAATCAAATATGATCTTTTGGATTTATTTATGAATAAAAATTTATATAATACTTGTATAATAAAAACTCGTACCTTCAAAGTGTTTTATTATCAGTACTTTTACTAAGCATAGATACATACTGACTCTCACATGATGTATTACGCTTATATAAATGTATCCTGAAAATTTTACAAACATGTCAGATAATAGCAATCTTGTTAAGACATTGACTTGAATAATACAATCTGAGATGATGGTAAAAATTTATATACAGGTTTTTTTTTCTTAAATTGTTATAAAGTAATAAAATCTTTGTATAACACAATGTAAGTACATTTTGGCTATGTTATGAAAGCTAAAGAAATTTAAAAGTAGATTTTTAAATATTTTTATAATTATCCCTTAATACATTCAATGCTGAATGACTGAAATAAATATTTTATAGTTAGATACAAAGAAACTGTTTTACGAAATCTGGAAATGGCACTTCAAAACTGATTTCCTTATGACATTACTTATGAGCTATGTACCCACCTGCCTTAGTATTATTTACTATTGTATTTATTCATAATGAATATGTAAATTTTCTTGAACATAACTAAGAAAGTAATATAGTAATACTCTATACTAGCTTCATTTGAGTTAGCAAGCTCCCATTCCTTATGACCTCCAGTTAGATATTCCACTCGTACAGATGACATTGTGACATGCTATTTTCTAGTTGTGAGAATATCAGCACAAAACTTAATACCTTGTTGATTGAGAAATCATTTTTCTTCTTCATTGTACAGATAAAAAAAAACAAAAAAAAACTGTTCTACATAACTGCATTCTAATAATTTCTACTCCTTCTTATACAACCACTTTGTTATTCATTGATTATTCTTGCATATTTATAAGAACTTGGCCACTAGCGGTGGAGGGTAATTATGGTGACCTGAAATTTTTTTTCTCTTTTCCAATATTCTGTTTTTGTCAATAATTCCAGCTTTGCCGTCTAATAGAGTTTAGTGGTGCCTCACCAAAGTTAATTTCTGTACCTCCCTGGCAATTTATTGCACCTTAATTCTTGACCAATAGAACACCAGCCTTCTTTTAGCAGAGTGTGAAATTTTCATTGAATCATTCTGTCCACTATTCTCCATTCATAATAGGTTTTTCCTTCTCTTTCTGTTCCTTAAGATTCTTTTTTTGGTTGCTATTGGATACATGTTTCTGCTAACATGTGTATCCCCAACACACTCACAATTGCAATCAATTTCCAGACAATAGTTCCATTACAGAGGAATGGTAGATATGGATCTAATGTTCTTCTGTAATTCTAGTAGATTAAATTGTCTCATGTGAGCTCAACAGACCGTGTACATTTCAATATGTTCATGAGTTTTCATTACCTCTGTCTTTCAATGTTTAGTATTTGCTTGTCCTCTTCCCTATCTGCCAACATTGTAGTTATTGTAATTACAAGTGTGTTACTTGTTTAGCTTGACTTTGTCATGTTATATGATTTGTCTTAAATTGAAGATCTGAAGCTAGTCTCATTTTTTTTTTTTGTTCAATATTTCAGTTTATAACTTCAGTTATTGCTTTAACTTGAAATGCTGTTTGTTACATTGCCTATACATCTTTGGTCTCTTCACTGCTTTCTTTCATATATTTTCTAAGGGACAAATATGGCTGACAAATTTGACTTCCTTTGATTACTCATTTAGGGGAAAACAGAAAAAAAATTATTTTATGACAACATTGTATACAGTTTCTCTGTTTAAGATTTTTGTCTTGAGAAAAACTATTGTTTTTATTTTATTTTATATTCATTTGGAGAGAAAATTCATTCTTCTATAAAATATGCTAAAAATTAAATATATCTGATTGATCCTCCAATGTTTTTATTTTCAAATGCAATAAATTATAACCTTCTGAATTCATACATCATAAATTTAAAAAGCTTCTTATTCAAAACAGTACATCTTTGAATTATAGTGAATCTTGAATAACATTAGTTATTTTCTGTTCATGTGAATCTATAGCCTTGAAAAGAAACACTTTATGAAACTTTGAAAGAAATATATTTATTAAAAATGAAAGTATCATTCCATGACTCAGATATTTTTCTTGGATAACATTAAGTGATGCTGAACACATGAGTATATGTCTAAATTGTATTCCATGTGGACCTTACAGTATCATGAACATTGCTTTCTACTTTTCATTTTCTCAAGTGATGAATAAAGAAATGTTTGATTAAAAATTATACTGTATATACATTTCTTTTCTATGTAGATTACTTTAAATTACCCAGTTTTTTTTTTTGTTTTGTTTTTTTTCTTCTTTTTTTTTTATTTATTAAAGATAATTCATTTGATTTGTTGCAGTCACATTAAAATATCTTGGAGGCAATATTTTAATAAAAAATAAAAAATTCATAAATATTTATAATTTGCTGTTACTTTTCTGTTGTAAAAGACTAAAATTTTTTTTATTTTTTTTATTTTTTTTTTTTGCTATTTGTTCAGGATCCTGGGTGGTGATAATTTTGGGTTAAAAATATTATAGAGAATTTTGTAGATTGCTCTTTTCTAGCTCCATGAGCCAATCTTTATCAGCAGTAACCAAATATGTACCCTTGTAATTGATCCTAGATAGTGGTAACCAATTATGCTGTCCAGTCGTTGGTCTTCAAGTTCACTCTGGTTACTATTTAGCTGACTCTTCACTCATTAGTTCATGACTCGTTTTGTCACTGTTGTTGTGTTGGTGGCATGGTTCCAGTTGACTTAGCTGGTATTTTTCTGTTCACAACCATTCACTCCTCTTCATGTGTTTTTGATCTCTGAGATCATTGAAGCAAACGTGGAGTGAAGACTGTTCAACCATTTGGAAGCTACACAAAAAAAACAAGAATCCTTTGGAATAAAGAATTAACTCGGGTTAAAAATGTAACAACAATTTGTTTTACATATGATTTGTTGTATAGAGCAGTTTTAACCCTTCCCACTTGTTATAATCAAATGACAATGGGATCCCATTTGGAGTCTACAGCTTGTTTTAGTAGTAACTTAAATTTCTAAGTTTTTATCTTCATGTCCAGCACAAGATCTTTGGCAGGAGGTCTCTGTGAATGATGCAGATTCTGGTGTGTTCCTCTGTCTTTCTCTTCTTGTAGTGTCTCTTGTTCTCTTAACTGTTTCCTAGTCCAAAATCTTCAGCTTATATGGAGTCATGTGTCCGGTGAGGGTAACTAGGGTCTGGGTTCAGTTGTCTTCTACAACTAAGTATCACCCTTTTCTAAATTTTCATATATAAAAATACATTTACTCAAGTGGTTTTCAAAATTTAGGGTTATCCAGCTCCCTTTTGAGTGTGGTTAGAGAGATTAAGCTACCCCTTAACTTACACTCTCTTTACACTTTGCTTTGTACCATAGCTCTATATAGGTGGTGTGAATCTTTCTCCCACCCCCTCTTTTTTTCTCCCCCTCTCCCCCCTCCTTTTCCCCCCTTCTCTTTTCTCCCCCTCCTTTTCTCCCCTTCTCTTTTCTCCCCCTTCTCTTTTCTCCCCTTCTCTTTTCTCCCCCCTTCTCTTTTCTCCCCTTCTCTTTTCTCCCCTTCTCTTTTCTCCCCTTCTTTTTCTTTCTTCTCTTTTCTCCCCTTCTTTTTTCTTCCCCCTTCTTTTTTTCTTCCTTCTTTCTTCTTTCTTTCTTCCTTCCTTCTTTCTTTCTCCCCTTCTCTTTTCTTTCTTTCTTTCCTTCCTTCTTCCCTTTCTTTTTTCCTTCTTTCTTTCTTTCTTTCTTCCTTCTTTCTTTCTTCCTTCTTTCTTTCTTTCTTCCTTCTTTCTTTCTTCCTTCTTTCTTTCTTTCTTCCTTCTTTCTTTCTTTCTTTCTTCTTTCTTTCTTTCTTCCTTCTTTCTTTTTTCCTTCTTTCTTTCTTCCTTCTTTCTTTCTTTCTTTCTTTCTTTCTTCCTTCTTTCTTTCTTCTTTCTTTCTTTCTTCTTTCTTTCTTCTTCTTTCTTTCTTCTTTCTCTTTCTTCTTCCTTCTCCCACTTTCTCAATAGCCAACCTCAGCTTGCCTCCAAGGCTGGAGTGATAAATCTAACTTCAGATGGCACAGCAAAGACAAAAGGGATTTTCCTCATTAGTCCTTATCTATCAGCTTGCCCCATGCTGGGATCCTGTTGATCCACCAGACTACTCAAGAATTGGAGAAAGAAAAATCTATTTCCACTCTTCTTGAAAGTTTATCTTTTCTCTGTTTTATGTATTTTTTATGACCAAATAGACCACACAGCTTTCTTGTCCATGGTCACTTCAAAATAGCAATTATTTTTTCTTACCATTTGTATCCAAGGGAATCTGAATTAATGTTTGTATATAAAATTTTCTCTGGATGAATGTCACCAAAATTATAATGACAGACATGTAGGGATTCTTTTTTCTGTGTAGTTGATTCAAAACAGATGATTTTTTTTTCTCCTTGTCCAGTGGAATCATGAATATTATTTTGCTGACCACCCAGATTTTTCTATCAACAACATATGTTTTTATTTTATCTAACATCTTTGTGGATACCTTAATGGTCTTTATCTTATCATTGGGAGGTGGGACAGCCTTGTGTTTGCTCAATCTTACTGAATTTTGTCTAGTTAAATTTGGATTTGATTCTTCTTGGAATTACCTCAAAATGTGATTTTTCATTGCATTTCTTTTTAATTTTCTTAACTTTTCAAACTATCTTACTGCAATTTCAATAATTATCATCCAGTTAGTAGACACCTATTTCATCCTTCCTTTCTTACTCTTTTTGTTTGATCAACCTCCAGTGATCCTTAAAAGGAAATATTAATATCTGACAGACAAAGCCCTTACAATAAGGTTATTTTTGATACAAAGCCTATCCTTTCATGTGTTTTGTATATGTATTATTGATGTGATAGTGTGTTGTCTGTATCCTGATTCTATCAGTGTTGTTTTGAAAGCAAGTAAATCATGCTTTGCTATTTGTTAGTTTATGAAAAGTTAAAGACAAGCAATTTACTTGAACCTGAAGATATATTTCTTATTACTACAAACTTTATTTTGTGAATACCCATATTTAAGTAGACACCCTTTCTTTTTTCTATCACTATAAATTAGATCTATCGGTCTGAACATTAAATGTGTTCTCCAGCAGGGTTTAAACCTGTGCTCTCATTTATTGAAAAAAAAAAAATCACCTTGTCATCCAGTATTCTTTAGAATGCTCGGCCACAGAGAGCATTACAGTCCACAAGATTCTTGATATTTTCTTTATTAAGCCTTCCAAATGCATAAACCAAGAAATGTAATTCACCTGAAAAAAAAAAATTTAAACACAGACACACACACACACACACACGCACACACACAGGTATCCACAAAATAACACTTTCGGTGTTAGGAAATAATATTGGGTAAAAAATTCCATTGGTTTATCAGAAATTAGTGTGTATATATATATATATATATATATATATATATATATATATAGAGAGAGAGAGAGAGAGATTCCTCAGAAATTATATATATTAAAGACAAACTTTTTTTTTTTTTTTTTTAGAGTAAAAGTTGTTCTATTTTCATAACTTCTATTAACAAATTTATCTCCTCACAAAGGAATTGAAAATAGTTTTATGAACTAATCTGCATATTTACTTTCTACTGCCTTTCCTCATAATACTGATGTTCTTAAAGTTTATTTAATTATACATCCTAGTGTCTTAAAATGTGTAGTTACTCTATATACATTTTATACCAATTGATATATCTGACTTGAAAGGGACTAGTCATCATGAGCAAGAAAGTTTGACTGTATCAGTTTTAGTCTGTGGAATACCAACATGGTTAAAGAATAATTTGAGTACTGATTATGAAACCATAATATAACAAGTTTAGTGTTCTTCTCTTGGAACTAAAACTGTCCACAAAAAGCACTATTATCTTAACTGGTATCCTGTAAAATTCTTTCCATAGTTTTTGTCGTTGGATTTGGAATGACTATATCAGAGTGCAATCTAAATTATTCATTGGTGTCCAATTCACCTTAACAAGATGTTAACTTTCTTAATCTACTGTCCACTTCAGCTGGCAAGTTCTGGCCTTAAGTGATATGAGGAATGAATTTAATATCTTCCAACAATACACAGCACAGTTCTTTGTCACCTCCAGATAACTTCTGTTATTGGATATGTATGTGTCTTTGTCTCTCTTTATGCCAACCAACCTTGTAATATTTGCTTGTACATTTGTTCACTATAGTAGTTTGAGAAAATATTACAAAAATATACAAAGCCAATCTCTACAAGCAACTTTATTATAATCTACTCAAGCTAAAGTGCTGCTTATTTGCTGTGATGTTTCTTCATAAGGTTCTTTAATTTTTTTATAATCTGTTTATTTCTTTTGTAATTTACTTGCAAATTGTCTTATCCAGAAAATAAGTGGAAATTGTTGCTAACCAAATGTATATTTGTTTGCTTCCTTAAAAGAAAAAATATAAATGTTTGAAATTATCAATACTTAATATAGAGTACCAAAATGCTTTTAAATATACATTTAGATATTTTGAAAAATGTTGATAAAATAATTATCCAGCTTCATTTTAAAATTGTGTTTTAGAGACTCTTATGCCACTCACCATCACCTCCACCATTAGTATCTGTTGGCATCACAATATAGTTGAAGATTCAATGTTGAAATATTGATGTTGTGAAGTCAGATTTAGGACATCTAATAGGTTATGAAATTAAAGAAGGTGATAGAAGATCAATAGTAATTTGAATTTTATAGATAAGGAATAAATAAATAAGGTTGAATTTGTTTCAAGCAATTAACTGATATTTATATCAAGGGTGGAAGTATTGATTCTTATATTCTGAGGTTGTCATGTTTGCTGTACCATGCTAAAAATTATTAGAGCTTGTAAAAGAACTTGTTGGCTATAGCTATTTTCTTTGCTATTCCTTTTGTCTGCTGTCAACAATTATTTTGCATATAAAATTTTCTTGTTCTCATCATCACATGTAAGTGTCAATATTTCTTAGATCTTTTGATTGACAAGTTCATTGCTTGCATTTTATTCTGATGCTAATGTTTCCTTTTTGTTCAAATAAAAGAGAAAAACTGTAGTGATAATAATTTTATAGATGTGAACACATTCTCAACTTCTCTCACCACTTTTTCTTCAAGTTTTAATGTTAGAACCTATGAAATAGTCTCTTTTAATGTACAAATAAGAAAAAATAGATAATGGTAAATATATATTTCCCAGCATATATATTGCTACTAGGCATTATCGCAATCCTTAAAAGTCATTCTCCTTTCAACTTGTTCACATTTAGCACATAGTTTTTTTGCTTCTTTCACAGAATTGAATGATAGTAATAGTTGTATTGTTGTTCTTTTTCTAGCATAAGTAATATAAAAATAATTTTTTTAAAGTTGTTGTTGAGTGACAGGTGTCAAATTTGGTATCTTCATTATTTTAAGCAGAACTTTGTATTGAGCATTCTCTTATAAAAAATTACTTTTGTATATACATAAGGAAAACTTTCACAAAATGTCATTAAATGAAAGTAGGTCAAAAAATAATACCTGTTCTTCTTTAATTACAATAGAATTAATAGTAGACATGCACAAAGAATACCAAAATAACTATAAAAGCCTCAAGTTTGAATTTCTGGAGTGTGGAGTTATTATTTACATATGGACTATTGTTCTTATATTTGTTGTTATCACAATGTTTTGGTTAGAGTACCCTCCCGTCTTTAATCCATAGATTAAATGTAGTGTTCAGATCAAAATTCTATAAAGATTACCTGAATCAACAAGCACCCGATGAAGACCGAAGGGCATAACAACTGAAACATTGTGATAGTAACAACAAGGACAATTATCTGTGTGTAAATAATGTAAAAAAAAAAAAAAAAAAAAACTCAAGACTTCAAATGTCGTCAACATACTCTCCTTCCTTCTCAATTGTGGTATTCTGTCATTGAATGACAATTTGTATACTTTTTGGTTGCTTTCTTAGTTGGGTGTAAATTAACTCTTTCACCTCATCCTAATTAGAGAATCACTATTTTCATAGTTTCTCCTTCACAGACCAAAATGGGAAAAGTCTAAGGGTGCCATGTCAGTACTCCAGAGACGCTTGGGGAAACAGCCACCCACTGCTTCTTCAGTTAGTATTCTAAGAAACCACTTTGTATTGTCTTTTGAGTAACCAAGAAATGTACACTAAACTACCATGGTTTACCTGAAGGCTTTCACAGAGTTTTATAATAATGATTTTCCTATCAGCCTTTTTGGCCTTGTCTGCAGTCACAGCAGCAGCAGCTGGCTGCCACTGGAGTGTCTGTCACTTAGATCCATTACTATTTTTTCTTTAGCTCTGGCATAGCATTTAATTCTACTGATCCATCTTTTTACTTATTAAATGCAGCCTATCAATAAACATCTGCTAACCTCTTGTGAATGCAAGACTCCTGTTTGCTTTTCTAACTTATCCAGAGCCATTTTGAAAGCAGTTTATAAACAGGAAACAAAAAAAGAGGGAAGTTCACAAATATTACTTGTGGTATTCTAAACACTTTATAATTTATATTTTAAAAAAAGAAACTAGGAATTTTGACTTCTACTTTTAAAATTAAATTAGAACAGGCATCACAATTTGACTGATCCTCATACATTAAAAAATATGAGGATTTTAACACTTCAAACTTGTAGTTTTTAGCCATGTTTTTTTTTTTTTTTTCTTCTTCTTCTTCTTCTTATGCTAATATATGGGGGAAGTGATCTTCAAAGAATATATATGTTTATCATTAGTATATCTATATTTGTATAGGCACTTTTTTGTGTGATTGTGTTAACAATACAATTTTTGGACTTCATTCTTTCAAAGTTTGTCAGTTTCCTTCTTCACTTGAAAAGTGCAAAACCCATAACTTCATCTAGTATCTTTTTCTCTCAAGTACAGAGTTTGAAAAATGTAAATTTTATTTGTGGCCTACTTTGAAATTTTCTCAGACTTAAAGATTAA